TATTTTTTGTTGGGGGGGGTGCTTTTAACTAATCGATAACTTCTAATTGTACTACCTTGAACCTATACTTCTTGTGTAATTTTTTATGGCTTTTGTTTTGGCTTAAATATGATCAGGGTAAATAAATTATTTTTTAAGTATGTTTTTATTGATTTTTCAAGAGGAAGGGAGTGGGTTTGAGAGAGAGACATTGATGTGAGAGTGAAGCATCAGTTGGCTGCCTCCTGCACACCCTCTGCCGGGGATCAAGCCTGCAACCCCAGTATGTGCCCTGACCAGGCATTGAACCAGCAACTTTTCTGTGCACAGGATGACACTCCAACCGACTGAGCCACACCAGCCAGGGCACAAATGGTTTTGTTGTGTTGTTGTTGTTTTAATAAGACTTCCAAGCTAGACACAAAGGACCACACGTCACATGATTGCACTTCTCTGACTGTCTGAAACAGGCAGCGTGGAGAGACAGAGTAGATCTGTGGTCACCTGTTCTGGAGGGAAGTGTCAGGATTGGGGGTGACGGGAGAGGTGCAGGGTGTCCTCTAGGGTTGATTGTGGTGGTGGATGTACGATCATGTGACTATCCTGAAAGCCATTGAAGTCTGCGCTTCCAGTAGGTGCATTGTACGCTGTGTGACTGATGTCTCCATAGAGCTGTTTTAGAAAGCAAGACTTCATTAAGGAAAGCAGACTTTCCGTGTTGGCTCCTGCGCTGCTCTGATTTCTAAGATTGACATGTCATTGGGAGTTGCTTAAGTTCTAGCTTCGGAACAGGTGGTGCGAAGTGGAGCCCTGGCTGTTGATGAGCACCCGTGACGGAGAGTCCATCGTGACTTTCCCCAGGGAGCCTCTCCCCGACACCTTCCTCCCAGTGCTTGCTCCCTGGGGACAGCAGGCCCCAGCGAAGCTCAGGCCACGGGCAGCCGGTGCTGTGTCACCTGGCTCACTCACAGTCCTTTCTTCACTTCCGGACTTGGAGGGGCACCCCCGCTGCTCCACAGTTACTGCACGTTCTCAGTAACCCACAGGCAATTTCTGTCACTCTTTGAAAATACCTCGGACCCGAAATTATATTTGACTTGGGTAACTGGTTCCCTGACTAGATGTTATCTAAGCAGTTTCAAAACAGCCCAATTTGACAGGGGAAAGGATATTGAATTATCACTTTCATTAACCAGCACCCCCCCACACACACACCAGCTGTTCACTTCCTATTAAGCATTACGTAGTGGCTTTTTATTTACATTAATTCTATTTTGTAAAATTGTCTTCTTGATGCGCAAAATGTGTCTGTATGAAGGGTGACCAGGGCGCGGGACTCACAAGTGACTCGATGCCCGTGTTCACACAGGTGCACCAGAGTGGCTCGGGCTGGTCTCCAGTGGTGAGTGCTCACGTTTTTGCCTTATTTTCAGCGGAGTGGAGTTGGGCCATGTATGCATAGTGGGTATGCGGTGGCTGGCGACACTGTTCTCAGCCCGCCTGCGCATCAGTCAGCAAGCATGTACCCGGGCACGTTTCTAGCGCAAGCCTCCACCAAGACCAGGGCTTGGCAGACCGCTTCTGTCGAGTCAGACAGTGGCCATTTTCTGTTTGTGGGCCATGCCCTCTCCATCACTGTAGCTCACAAGCAGGAATATGTAAATGAATGACCATGGCTGTATTCCAGGGACAGTTCATGTACAAAAGCAGATGGTGGGCCCGGTGTGGCCCAGGGGCCCCAGCCCAGCCCAGGCTCAGCCAGTTGAGGGCACGATGTTCATTTATTTCAGCCAAGTCGCCTGTCATTGTGGCTGAGGGCCAGTGATACCTCTTTCCAGCCCACCATATGGTACCCTTTTTCCCCTCAGAATGATTTGAGAGTTCAAAGAGTGCATGTACTCATGGATCACAGTAATATTACCCCCAAAGGGTTTTTTTCAGCCAGACGAGACATAGGGAAGTGCCTTGTGCTGTGGCTTTAAGTAAAATGTCTCTCGCCTCATCCTCTCCAGTTCCTGGAAGACAACCTGGGGGTGATGTCAGTCGGTTTCTTGCTTAGCAGCCCCGACGATGCTGTCATCTGGAGAGGACCCAAGAAGAACGGTTTGTGCCCCGCTCTGTCTGTCTGTCGCTCTCCCAGGCAGGATGCTCGGCTCCCCTGCGCCCCGCTGTCCGGACGCTGCGGCAGGATTTTTAAGCGTCCAGTTGCCTCTGTCGTCACTGGTTGAAGAAATACCAGTTTTTGTTTTACAGTCTTTATTATCTATTGTGGGGTTTTTTTTCTCCTGAAAACCTATATAACCCTGAAATTATCCATATTTATTGTGGTTTAGTAGTGGCTTATTTGTGTCAGAGAGAGAAGTGTCAGAACTGCAATCGATACCAGCTTGAGTGGGCGCTGAGGCTTAGGCAGAGTCCTCAAACTCGGCCCCGGGACAGGGGGGGCCGTAGTAGTGAGGGGAGGGGTGGGCGGTGCTCCACACCAGGGATGCCAGGGGCAGCCTGGCCTCTGCGCTGGATGCCAGCAGCACCCCCTCCCTCAGCACGGCAGCCACCCATGTCTCCAGACGTTGCCAGATGCCATGGCTGAGAGTCCCCGCGTGAGGGTCACAGACTGTTTCTGTGGAGCCCCCAGCCCAGCCTGGGGAAAGGGAGGCCTGGCCTCAGTGCGGTGTCTCCCCTCAGGCATGATCAAGCAGTTCCTCCGCGATGTGGACTGGGGAGAGGTCGACTACCTCATCGTGGACACCCCCCCGGGGACGTCGGACGAGCACCTCTCAGTCGTCCAGTACCTGGCCGCCGCGCACATCGATGGCGCCGTGATCATCACCACCCCCCAGGTGACCGAGTGCGGAGGGAGCTGGGTGGGGACTGCGCCGCCAGAAGCTCTCTTCCTCACAGGCCCCGAGACCCTGGTCTGCCAAGGTTCCCTTCGGGACCAGCAGCCCTGCTTTGTCTCTGCAGAAACCCTGTTTATCTTTGGTCCGGCATTTGCGTTTGACAAATAAGCATTCCACAGTTGGGTTTTTTTGGTCCAGCAGTGGTTCAAAATTGCCTTTTAATTTCCTCTCACCAAGCCAGTGAGAGCGATGGTGCTGTTACAATTCAGATGGTCCGCCATGGTCACCTCACCCTTACCACGCTCATGCATCACGCCCGCAGTCTGCAGGGCCTCCTCACTCGCATTGCAGGACAGTTTGGAACTCTCCCCAGTTTTCCACGGCACCAGCCCGGGCGTAGGCGGGGATTTCTGGGGAAGCTGCTGCGGGTCTTGTCAGATCCTCATGTACCAGTCGCAGAGGCTGTGCCACGGGCTCTGAGGAACCCCCATGGGGTAAGTCTGGAGGCAGTGAATGCATCAGGCCTGGGTTGTGCTTTATCATTGCCGCTGATCTTAAGGGTCCCAAGAAACCCCCCAAGGGTCCCAGCTGGTTCTCTTCTGTTATGCTTCTTACAATATTCTTCCCCACTCCTAAGGAAGCAGGATGACGAGGCTCGGTCTGCCTCTGAATCGGGCAGCCCGGCCCCATCCTTCACCAAGCCTCACTGAGCAGTCACTACATGCAGGCCCTGGGCCGGGCACCAGGGCAGTGAAACATACCGGTTCCCCTCATGGCCCATGCAGTCACTGAGGAATGTGGGCGCTGTACATACGGGCACAGGCAGGATGCTGCCCGTGGTGTGACAGGATTCATGTCTTCGGATCACTCTGGTTCCCTGTGCAGAGAGATGTCGGGGGCATGAGGAACAAGACACCACTTGGGTGGCTAGAGGCCACCTGGGCACTGGTCGGGTGGAGGTGGAGAGAAGATGGATTGTCCCCAATGTAATTACTAGAAGGAAACAGTCTGGCTGGAATGCACCACCCGGGATGTTGATGGTGGGGAAGGTTTTCCGTGTGTGGAGGCAAAGGACCTGTGAGAAGTCCCTGTACTTCCTGCTCAGGTTTGCTGTGAACATAAAGCTGCTCTAAAAAGAAAGTCTATTAGCAAAAGTCTAGTTGGCCCAAAGACGGCTTCTCCTGCCACATTTGTTGTGAATGGAAACATGGAGTCCCTGAGGGATCAAGAAGAGGAGACGGACCAACAGGTGCTGGCCCTTCCCCGGGAAGCCATGGGGAGCACGCACGCGCCACGTGTGCCCTTTGTATAGAGCCTGTGTGGACAGTGTCACTTCGGGCTGTAGACACCCACTTTCTCAGAGCCCTTCACATCGGGCACCGCAGGCTTTAAATTACAGGACACCACGGAGAGAACCAGAGGCGCAGCCAGAGCCGGTTTACGCTGCAGCTACATGCCTGCACCCCAGCCTCACAGAGGCCTAAAGCCCAATGTGTGCCTCTGGAGAGTAGATGACTCGAGCTGAGACCCTTCAGGGGCCGTGACTGTCAGTCACACCTTAGAGCTAAGGAGTAGCCATACTTGAAGACATGTGTCTGCAACAACATTAACCGGGGAACGGGGGCTGCGGGGTACTAAGCAATGATCCTACTCAGTACTCACACCGTGAAATATACATGCAGAGTTCAGAAGTGAATTTTAAGTGATCCAAAGATCTTTCTTTCTGTCCACAAAGTTGTTTGTCTTCATAATAATCTGGATCAGAGGTCAGCAAACTTTTTCTGTGAAGGCCCAGATAGTACATAGTTTAGTCTTTGGGGATCATGTGGTCCTTGTCGTAGCCACTCAGCTGTACCCCTGTAGGGTGGAAGCTACTGGAGAGGGCATGGCTGGGTTTCGGAAGAACTTGACAGACAGGCAGCTAGCCAGGTTTCGCCACAGGCCTAGTTCCCCAACCCCTGAATGAAAAATAGTGCGCCCCTTGGCTCAGCATAGTATGTTGAAAAGAAAGTAAACATTGGGACATGCTAGTTGGGGGAGGAGGAGGGTGTAGGGAGCTACATGGTGATGGAAGGAGACCTGCCTTGGGGTAGTGACCACAATACAGTATAGAGAAGTTGTGTTGTGGAATTGCACGCCTGAACCTGTATAATTTTGTTAACTAGTGTCACTTCAATAAATCCAATAAAAAGGAAAAAAAGATGCTAAAAGGTCACTTTCCATAGATTCATTATATATTTGGTGTTTGGCTGTGCGGGTTCGTCCTTTCTGGGTTTTGTGGGGAATGAATAGTGCCTGGGACAGGGCTTAGCACATGGTCGGCACTAAGTACTCACCCCCCTAAGCTTTCTGAGGGTGAGCCACTGCATTAGCCGTCCACATTCTCTTGCTTGTACTTTGACTTTGAAACAACTGGTCTTTTGAACCGTGATAGGAGGTGTCCCTGCAGGATGTCCGGAAAGAAATCAGCTTCTGTCACAAGGTGAAGCTGCCCATCATCGGGGTGGTGGAGAACATGAGCGGCTTCGTCTGCCCCAAGTGCAAGGTGAGTGCTGACCAGCCCCGTCCGCGGGTCTCCGTGAAACCGGATGCTTCCCTGTTGTTTCCAGAAGTGGGATCACGGTGACAATGCTGCACTGCTGGCTGAATGAAAAGTCTTGGTAGTTAGTGTTTCACGTTCAGAAGGGACGTTTTTGAAAACTTCCTTTAAAATGTGGACCAGTCTTGTGATCCTGAAACAAAGTCATGATTCTCCCCCCCATTTACTTTGCCTCACAGAAAGAGTCTCAGATATTCCCGCCCACAACGGGGGGTGCAGAGGCCATGTGCCAGGACCTGAAGATACCGCTCCTCGGCAAAGTGCCCCTGGACCCGCACATAGGTGGGTGAGTCTCCACGCCCGGTTCCGTTGCTCAGTGGGGCCTTCATACACCGGGGCCCGGCCCCTGGACCACCTCCAGGAGCTCCCCCTGCAGCGGAGAGAGGCAGTGAACCAGGCGGGCAGGTGGCCAGGGGAGCAGGCAGACCTCAGGTAGCAGGGCTGGTTGAGGTGGGGCTGAAAGAGTGGAGGAGAGATGGGTCAGGGCGATGCCGGTGCAGGGAGGGCACTAGGAAATGAACAAAGGGTCCCTTAGGGGACAGTTCTGGGACCTGTGCTTCCCAGACCTGGTTCTGCTGCCGTGAACTCCGGTGGGCTTCCCGAGCTGCTTCCACGTGTTCCCACGGGAGCTCCACCTCTGTGCTCCCTCCCCCAGGTTCCTCCCCCGCTCGGGTTTCCTTGTCCCGCGGGGGAGTCGAGGAAATGACAGTTCCAGGTTGGCCTCACCAGGGCCCACTGAGATTGGGGAGCAGCTGTGGGTGGGGAATCACTGAGCCTGCTTCTTCAGCGACTTTTAGCATCTGGGGGCAGGGGCAGAAACGCTGGCCGCAGGGGTCTATGCAGGAATGGGGGTGGGCAGACAGATGGAGGAGGCGAGAAGGCCTCGCGCCCACTGGGGCAGGCCCCCTGCATTTGCTCACCGGGACACGGGGTTGACATGAGGTCCTAGAGGCAACCTGTGTATCCACAGGAGGACACCGGGGTGGACAGTCTTATGAAAGATTCGCAGACAGGTTGATGCCGAGTATACATGGAAAAGCAGTGGGCAGAACACTGCCATTCGTTTTTTTTTAAGTATATGAGTGTGTGTGCATATACGTGCCACGTATATACGCACATACAGTTTCTAGAAAGACATCTGAAACAGTGATAGCCTCACCTTTTATGGTACGTTTTCCTCCATGTGCATTCATTATCTTTTTACTCAAAAGAACTAATTAATCTTTGAAAACTCAGTCCCTGGGCCCACCCAGGAGCTGCTGAATCGGTCCTGTGTGGGGCCCTGGAACCTGCATTGCCACACCACCCAGATGAATTGTAGGCACACACACGGAACACCCTGGGCCAGGGAGGGCCCCTGTGGATGGAGGGAGGCAGGGGGTCCTCTGAGGCCCCGCCATTCTTTCTTGGCGTCGTTCCTTATAAATTCAGGAGCTTCCTAATGTCACGGGCACAGAAAGAGCCCCAAGGCCATGTTGCCACTTGGTTTTCTTCAGGGATTTAATTCCCTTTCCTTTGTTTCTTTAAGGGAAGAGTTGTGATGAAGGACGGTCTTTTTTGGTTGACACGCCGGATTCACCAGCTACGGTAGCCTACAGAAGCATCATTCAAAGTAAGTGTTTATGTGGGCCCTGTGAATCCAGATGGCTGTGGGGCCAGGAGGTGACATAAATGAGCAGAGTGGGCTGGGTGTGAGGAGACCCTTGAGGATCATAAGTGGTCACTGCCTCGCAGCCTTGGCTGGGCATTCAGGCCATGGGGTGGGGTCTGGGATCACCTGGAGAGCGCCTCCCTCAACCCAGGGACCGGGAGTCTCTGAGAAACCTATCAGGGCGTCAATATTGTGGGCTAAGTTATAGTGTAAAAGACACAGTGAGGGTGGATTTTACGGCATAGAAAATGCATCTCGGTAAAGCTGTCCAAAGAAAATTAAGAAGAAAAAACACAAAGCCTAGTGAGCCACACCAAACTCACGTGCAGCTCCAGTTCCCAACTGGCGGCCAACTACAGTCTGGTTTGTGCGGGGCTTTCTGCCTAGTGAAGTGGTGTTGGGGAAGTAACATCACTCCCAGGCTCTGAAGAATGAACCGAGGACGGGCCTCCAGCATGGTTCTCACCACGATGGGCAGTGTGTGGTATTCAGGTCACTGAAGATTCGGGGCTTCAACAGAAATGGGGCTTTTTAGGGAGTTCAACATCTGGGGATTCCACCCCAGCCTGGAAGTGCCCAGGCTGGCACAGGCAGGGCTGCCGGGGCACTAGGAGCTGCCCGTGTTTCTCTGCCTGCCGCCTTGTTTTCCAGGAATCCAGGAGTATTGTAGTCTCCATCGGCCAGAAGAAGAGAGGACCTCGTTAGTTCCTGAAACACGGGGGGACATGGACGCGAGCAGCACGGCCAGCGCGTCCTGACCGCTCGGGCACAGAGTGGGCTCAAGGCAGAGAGGGACCAGACTCTGGTGTGGTGTGAAGTCACTTTTGCAGACACTTTAATCACCTGATATTTGTACAGTTTTCTTTAGATCACATGTAAAGGGCGTTCTTTACACATGTGCCATTTAAAAAATAAAAGCGTCTCCTCAAACGTCCCTGCTTCACTGAAAACCCGCGGCTTGTTGGTCGGAATGCCTGCTGGCGCTTGCTTGACTGCAGAGCCCTCACCTCGCTACTGCTGCCTCTGAAGATATGCCTGAAAGGGAAGCAAAGGGATGAGGTGTGGCTTCGGTGCAGAGCACACGGTCACAGTGTTAGTAGTAGTCCAGTTTCTCTCCAGATCGGGGAAAGGAACATCAATGGAGCCTCAAGCCAGGGCTTGTTCTGGGGTTAGCGTCGATGCAGCTGCATGTGGTCAGAACACCCCTGAGCAGCTCTGAGATCACCCACTAAACCGAACTGGGGTCTGTGTCGGCCTCGTATAGTCACATGACACTCCCCCAGGAACTTCTGGTGGCACAGAAGACATTTCACAGGAAAGACATGGGTGAACTCTAGAATTATGGGCATTGCCAAGAGAGTTCCCTCTGAGATGCACAGGGATGGAGATGGTGAGGGAAGCGTAAATTCCTATTTTCCATCTTACTCCGAGCGTAAGTGGTAGGTGGGCAAATTCCCTTGTTCTTTCCTCTCATCTTCTCATTTCCCTCCCTGCTCCCCCTCATGCCTGCATGTGGTCGAATTTGTACATGTCCAATGTGAGGAGGGTGGGACCCCAGTAAAGGGTGATGCAGTCACAAAGCCCAGGATGGCCAGTGCACAGGCTGGTTCCCCACCTGGCCATGCCCCTGGCCACTCAGGGCACTGGGTAGGCCGCCCAGGCCACGGGCACGGCTGAGCATGGGGGAGCTGCACTTCTCACAAGCCTCCAGCCCCGGTCCAGACCCCTGCCTTGATCCCGCCTCTCACCTAACACTTGTGGATCTCCAGCCCCTCGAGGCCAGGCTTCTCAAAGTCACGTGGGCAGGCCTGCAAGGAAAGGCAGCCATGGCTTTCGGTCCCACCAGGCCGGCCTGATTCCGACTCGAGGCCAGAGCAAACCCACCATGCGCCAAGAGCATACAGTAGCGCTACGAACGTTTAACACGGTCCACACCACTTTAGGATGAGCCTGGTCACATTTATTTCACCTCATTTATATGTGTGGTTAAAAAGTTGTGCTTCTAAATTCTGCAGTTTTTAAAATCACCGAAGACTAACGATGCTAGTCACAGAAGGATAGATACTGTATGATTCCACTTGTGTGAGGTCCCTGGAGTCATCATATTCATAGCAACAGAAAATAGAATAGTGAATTCCAGGGGTTTGGGGTCAGGCAGCAGGGAGTTTCTGTTTAATGGGTACAGTTTCAGTTTGGGAAGATGGAAGGTTCTAGATTGGAGACAGATGGTGGTTGGGGATGGATGGTCGTACAACAATGTTAATGTACTAGATGACACTGAAATGTACACTTGAAAATAGTTAAAATGGCCCTAACCAGCGTTTCTCATGGTTAGAGTGTCAGCCTGCTCACTGAAGGGTCACAGATTCAATTCCCGGTCAAGGGCATGTACCTGGGTTGCTGTTCGGGAGTGTGAGGGAGGCAACCGTCGATGTCTGTCTGTCTGTCTCTCTCTCCCCTCTTTTTCTCCCTCCCACTCTCTGAGAAAGCAATGAAAAAAATACCCTCAGGTGAAGGTTAAAAATAACTTAGTTAAAATGGTCAGTTTTATGTTGTGTATATTTCACTGCAGTTTAAAGAGACTAACTGTGGCAGCCTGACTGATGAGGAAACATTCAACACTGCAGCTGCCAACAGGCCCCCCACCCGAGCGTCAGTCACTCACGGTCTGGAACACCGTCTGGGACAGAAAGCTGGCTGCGGCTTTGCTGATGTCACTCTCGCCTCCCATCTTGCACAGGATGTAGCCATACAGGTTAGCGGCCTGGAGGGAGATCCCCGCTATCACGAGGGCCTGCGCTCAGACAAAGCAAAGGTCAGTCTCCTGGGCTTAGATGGAAATGTCCCTCCCACACCCAGTGGCCTGCACCTGACGTAGCAGCCAAGCTTGACTGAGCACCTACAAGACTCCTGGACACCTTTTAATCACCAACCTGAGAACTCGGTGCCATTATCATCCCAGAGACACGAAAGTGGCCCAAAGTCCAGGAGCTGATGCAAGGCCAAACCAGGACCCAAACTCCAGAGTCCACACCTCTAGTCACGCTGCTGCTTATACTGTCTATGGATATTTTGTTTTCTCAGCGAACGAAACAGGTCATGGCAACAAAATACAGTAGCTCTGAAATAAAACTTCGGAACTCTGAGGCTAGCTTATTCCTACGTAGGAAGGGTTCCCTGTCCAAGGTAGAATGTCAGGCGTTTTCTATAACTCCTCTCTTAGCAGCATTATTCGTGCACCAAAGGTGGAGACAACCAAATGGCCATCAATGGATGGAGGGGTAAATAAAATGTGGCCTATCCATACAATGGAATATTCAGCCTGAAAAGGAAAGATGTCTTGATACATGTGATAGCATGGATAAACCTTGAAAATGCTACGTTACGTGAAAGAAGTCAGTCACAAAAGACCACATATTGTATGATTCCACTTACAGGGAATGCTCAGAACAGACAAACCTATAGAAACAAAGATGAGTGGGTGTCAGACTGGGTGAACAGGGGCCCTGGGAGGTAGTGATGGCTGAAGGCTACAGGGTGTCTTTGCGGGCGGTGAAAATCCTGAAAGTGATTGTGGTGATGGCTGCACAACGGAACACCTAGAAGCCGTTGAATTATACACATCATATAGGTGAGCCGTATCTCAGCTATTTCAGTAAATCTGTCAATATACAACAGTCCACTCCTGGGACCCCTGGTTGTGTGCAGATGTCAAAGCAACGTCAGAGTCGGGTGTTGCCTTACCAGCCACTTTAGCTTCAAGGAAAACAAGGTGCTGAAGAAGAACACAATCCAAATGATCGGGCAGATAATGAGGCCGAGCCAGAAGATCCGGGCTTCTGCTTCGGTGGTGGCGATGCTGTTCGGAGAGACCTGTGTGGGAAAGTGATTCATGCCGTCATGTTCATTGATTCTACATGTGCTCCTGTTACATGCCGGGCGCCGGCCCCGGTGGGCTTTGGGCAGGGCAGGATCAGAGCTGCGCAGAGCCCGAAAGGAACCCACGGACACTTCCCACAGCCACTCTCCCCGTGCTGGTTCGCCTCGTCATGGAGAATACCTTTCTGGCTTCAAAAATCCAGTGGCTTTTCCCATCTTCATCGACCTGGTTCCACCAGCGGAGGCCCACCATGAGCCTCCCAGTTACATTCTAGGAAAAGGGACAAAGTGACTCTTAGCGCACTTTGGGCAAAGGGCAGGTCGTCACCTGTTTGTTGGTGAGTAAAACAGAAGTTAAACTTGTACTGGGAGCAGAGAGGTGGGGAACTGGACTGTGGTGGTTTCCCTGGATATATATATATCCACATTAGGTAGAACATTTAAATCTCTGTATATTCTATGTAAACTTTATTAAAGATCAAAGCCATATGGAGTTGTCACCTCACACGGCACATATTTGCAACAGTTGATATCCTGAAGCCATTTACTCCACACTAAACAATGTATTTTCTCCTCTAATTTTAAGTGACTCCAGCTCCGTATTCCTAAGAATGTATCAGCCGTTCCAGCCAGAGCACCTCTTCGCTCAAATCGACCACCTGCAGCAGGACAGCCGCCACCCGGGCGCAGCGGCATCACGGGGCCTCACCTTCACAGACCAGAAGTCGAAGGACAGAAGGAGGAGCACGGTGACGAAGCAGCCCACAAAGCTGCTGCTGAA